AACAGGAACAGACCAGATGAAGCTACTGTGAAAAAAAGCAGAGAGAGCAGAATGTTAGTGATTGAACTAACAATTTCTGCATAGTGGGAGAAAATAGATGCTCAAAAAGGGGTCCCTATGTCCTCCAGCAGTCTTAACCTACAACAGCATAACTATAGAGATAGCTCAGGATAACCTGAACCAGTCTAACTATAAGCTTTATTAAAAAGGAGCATTTTAAGCCTTGCTTAAGCCTTGCAGACACCCTTAGACATGCTGTCTGCCTCATGGACTAAAACTGGTAGTTGGTTTCCACAGGAGAGGAGCCTGATGATGAAAAGATCTGCCTCCCATTCTACTTTTAGAAATTCTAGGAACCACTAGTAAACCTGCAGATTGAGAGCGAAGTGCTGTGTTACTCTTATATTTTAGTTTTTCTTTTTATATATATGGAAAAAATCATTTAAATGTGTTCGACCGAATCAAAGTTTATATATATATCCATCCATCCATTTTCTGTCACACTTATCCCAACCGGGGTTGCATGGGGTGCTGGTGCTTTTCTCCAGCTGTCTAAGGGCGAGAGACGGGGTACATCCTGGGGAGGTCGCCAGTCCATCGTAGGGCAACACAGAGACAAACAGGACAAACAACACACACTTACACCTAAGGAGAATTTAGAGAAGCTAATTAACCCAACAGTCATGTTTTTGGACTGTGGGAGGAAGCCGGAGTACCCAGAGAGAACAACCAGGACCACAGAGAGGAGGTGGAGCAGCTGGTGGACTGGTGCAAAGATAACAGCTTGATCCCGAATGTGGAAAAGATGAAGGAGATCATCCTGGAATTAAGAAAGAAACGGCCTAACCACTCTCTACTGGTCATCAACAACTCAGCTGGAGAGGCAGGCAACAGCACCAAATTCCTTATACCGGTATATAAATGTTTTTTTGTTTTTTGTTTTTTTTTTTACGGCACCAGTGGCTTGATTTTATGACAGCAACCTGACAGGAAAGGGGGTATGAGGGGGGGAGAGACATGCAGCAAAGGACCACAGGTCAGATTCGAACCCGGGTCGGCCCCGTCGAGGACTAAGGCTACGTTCACACTGCAGCCTGAAGTGACCCAATTCCGATTTGTTTGCCCATATGTGACCTGTATCTGATCTTTTTATGACAGTCTGAACGACACAGATCGGATTTTTTCAAATGCGACCCAGGCCACTTGGATATGTGGTCCTGAATCCGATACG